ATGATGAGATTGAGAATGTTGGTTATGTTTCTGTCTCTCAGGTGGAACATGTGGTGAGAGAAGAGAAGACTGTAGCTGCTTATGAGCTCATTGGAATATATTGTGAACTTCTTGTTGTTCGTTTAGGTGTTATCGAATCGCAAAAGTAAGAAAGATTCGAACTTTTTTCTCTTCTTTGGTGAACATTGATGCTCTTTGTCTTTATGTATTGATTGTTGTGCGTTATTACTTCAGAAATTGCCCCATTGATCTGAAAGAAGCTGTCACGAGTGTCTTGTTTGCTTCCCAGAGGTTATCAGATGTCCCTGAGCTCTCAGAAATCTGTAAGCAATTCACAGTCAAGTATGGGAAGGATTTTGCTACCTCTGCTATTGAGTTACGTCCAGATTCTGGTGTGAGTCGCCTGGTAAGTGGTTTCCATATGTTCCTATTGTTTTCCGACACAGTTGTTTTCGATTGTGAACCCTTCTTGATTATGATTCTTGTCTTTATAGTTGGTTGAGAAATTGTCGGCCAAAGCCCCGGATGGTCCAACAAAGGTCAAAATTTTGATGGAAATCGCTGCGGAGCATAATGTGGTCTGGGAGGCACAATCTTTTGTTGAACCAGATCCAAAAGACGAGCTGTTGGTAAGTAGTAACATTTTTCATTGTAAATGTATCGGTTGTTTTATCTATTCGCTAATGTTTAACCATAACTTTACTTGTTTTTTAGAGTGGAGCAAGCACGTTTCAATCAGCGAGTAGTGTAAACATGGATTCCTCTAGAATCCCAAACAAGGAACAACCTCCAAACGTCCAATCTCCAGCTACTGTCAATGTTCAACATGGATCAAGTGAAAGACATCATTCGCAAGAGAACTCTTATGTAAATGATGGAAGATCTTCAAGCCGTACCAACAATGTGTCTTCTGGGAAGGCTGATGACTACTATCATTCAAATGCGAGACCTTCTCGTAAGTGGTTTCCTTCTGCTGTTTCTGTTTTGGTTTCTTGATTGAATCATTTGACAAAGTTTTTTTGTTTGACAGGGTCTCGGGCTGATGAAGGGGAATGTAGAAATCCAAATCATGGCGACGAAAGTTCATCTTCAAGAAGCAAGAATAGGTATGAAACAGAATTTGTTACTTCTACAGATGCTGCACGTGCGGCTGCTGAAGCCGCTGAAAGAGCAAGTTTCGCTGCTAGAGCAGCTGCTGAACTTTCGAGCAAAGAAAGGATGACGAGGCAGAATTCAACAGAGTCGCATTTGCATTCTGCAAATTTCAGAAACGAGCCTTCACACAGACATAACAGTTCAAATGTACAAAGCGAAGGTATTTCTGAAGATTATTATTCTCCAAGACGAAATGTTAGGATGGAGTCTGAAGATATGGATAGAACCCAACAAGATAAATACCATAGGGCAAATGAATCTGACATTCCCCCTGTAGATCACGCATCAGATAGACATTCCCTGGAGAACTCGAGAAAGGATGGTTCCTTTGGTAAAGCAGGTAGAGAGAAGCAGCCAAGCGAGGATGAGATGGATTTAGATGTTGGTTACTCAGAAGATGTTCACCTCAGGAAGCAGTCAAGCCGGGCTTCATCGCATTCACATTCAAGCAATTATTCTGACGAGAATGTCACTGGCTCAGATTATATGAAGTCACCGAGCGTCGTGGAGGATAACATTTTTGCCACTGAATATGATCACCAATCTCAGAGCAGCTTTAAAGATCTAGATTCTCATGATTATGGACATGATGATACTACTACTGGGGATACTTTTGATCATTATAGCTCATTTTTTGATAAACCTAAATTCGATGCGGAAGATGAATATGATCATGGAGTGGGATTTTCATTGCTTGGCAGCAAAACGTCTACTGTTACGCCAACACCAACTGCGTCCTGGAGCTTCAAAGGAGACCATGGAAATCGAAGCTCAAGCTCACAAGTTTTCCAGGAGAGCCCAAGTTCTCCATTATTTGATGATGTCTCTACAAGTCCTCCGGCTTCTTACCATGAGTCGGACCAACATTCCAAGTTTGACAACTATGGTGCACATTCAGCAAGCGAAGATGATCAGCCGAGACACAGAGGTAAAGTTTCTGGACGTGTAGACGAAAAAGTGAATCTGACATCTGATCGATCTCAGAAGTTTGAAGTCTCTGATCCTGTGGGACATGAATTTTTCCCTTTAGACACAGAAGAACACAAAGATGATTCAAGGACACTGGAAGAATCAGAGTCTGAGACTGATAGTCAGACTGGTCTGAAATTTAGACCTTTGGCCGGTGGATTTAGGAACAAAAAGACACTCCCACCTTACATAATAAGCCCGGCAAGAAATGAAGCATTGTCCAAGTCTGAGAAAGAACGTAATGGATCAGATGATGTTGGTCAGTCGATGTCTACTTCTAGCAGTAGCAGAAAAGATATCTACACTAAGAAAGCAAGCAACAGCGAGAAGAGGCCAAGCTCTACGCCACCACTTCCATCTTCAAGTGATGACGATGATTCAGAGATCCAACTTCGAGGAAGAAGAACAGAAACAAAGCCCCGATCCTCATATCGTCATTCCCATGTCAACCATGAGGACTCGGAGGAAGAAGAACTCCCGCCTCGATCTTCTCACAGAAGTCAAGTGAGCACTCATAAGCCAGCAACGGGAATGAGAGATCACAACAGACCAAACTTCAAGACCCCAGCTTCACCCTCGTATGAATATGAGGAAGAAGTGGAAAGAGATGCTGCACGAGTTAACGCCAAGCCATCTATAAAAACCGGGTACTCTCTAAGGACAAAGGGGCAAGTGAAAACTCATGAGAAGCGTTCATTCCCAGTGAAAACAACGAAAACCGAGCAAGAGTCTCATGACCACCCATCTCCAAAATCAACCTCAGAGCACAAGACAGTAAATTCAAGCTCAGTCCCACAGACTGTAACATCACCCGATCCAGAAACCCCGTCAAGGGAGAGAGCTAGTCATGTTCATCCAAACCTCCCAGACTATGACGATATCTTTGCAAGGTTGGGGGCTCTTCGTGGTCCTAGTCGCCGTTGAATCTGCTCAACCTCCTGTCTGTTCATAAATATTTATTCTTTGTCACAGAGATCAGTTCCCATTCATTCTTTACTCGGATTGATGATTGAATTGGACATCCTTACACATTATACGGATTTGAAGCAGTGGTGTGATTCTGCTTGTTCTTGATTGAAATTCTTTTTGTCTATTTTATTTTTGGTGTGGATTAACAGTATAGGATACCACTATTTGTGAAGCTAAAGATTTTGTTACAACATTTGAAACGTCGTCACAACAGAAATAAAGTTTGTTCTCTAATTGCCATATTGTTCAAAGTACAATGCAAGAAACAAAGAAACAATGTTGAAAAAGCTATGGGTAGCAAAGAACCGAACCGAACCGGAATATAGACTTTTTTTGTTCAGTTTCGTTTGGCCGAGTAATAGTGTCTCGGAACATTCCAAGAGACTTGAGATTGAAGAAAGG